AAGGAGGAGGAGGAGGAGGAGGAGGAGGAGGAGGAGGGAGGTCGTCTTTGGTACTCTTGGTTATTTTCTTGCAGACGTTTCATTACCCAAACTAGGTAACATCAACACTACCACTGATGATGTTACCTACTCTGGGTAATTTCAACCCTGAACTACAAATATTCTCCTTTGCCATTGGAATCTGCTCAATCTTTGCAACAGACAAATCTTGAAAAGGGAAGTAAGGTTCTCACAAGTCATCAAGGCTTGGGTCAAAATATCTGCCCCTTTGTTTCTTGGAAATTCACAATTCATAGTTATCTCCTCTTCCTCCTAAATTCCTGGAAACCCAAAGGATGGCTAATGATTGTTCATATCTCGACAGTCTGGTACAAAAGACTTCAAAACATTTATCCCGTTCAACATTGCTCACATCTTAGCAAATGACTTTAGAAACGGAGCTGGAGTCTAGTTGGAGCACACTGAGTTGCTACTAGGAGTTGAAAAGAGACGGGGCTACAGCCACATGGTTTTCCCACAAAGGCGTTTCACTTCTCATCCAAGAAGCTTTTTCAGTCAGAACTGAAGAAGCTTCTTGGGTGAGATATGTCTTCATGGAAGAACAAAGAAAGTCCAGTTGATTTTTGACAAAACAGCACTTTGGGGACACCCAGAGACCTTGTTCATCTACCTTCTTGGATAAAAAGTAACCTTTGAGATTTGATTTTTGAACCTTGATGAGGGGAACCCCCCCAAGATATTGTCCCTATGTGATTCTCACCTCCGATTTCCCTATCCAGGCCCTTTTCTCCCAGAAACTCGGATTGTGCACCCTGTGAGACAGCAACTGGAGGGGGATCTTTCCGGCTGGGAACTAGGAATCAAATGCTCTCACTTCAGTGACGTATCCTGACGTAGCAGCTTCGATCTGTTGGTAGCATGGTTGTAAAAGTAATCTCTGCTTATCATATATCTACGATGATTTCCTGTTCCTACCAGTGGCAGCTCCTTTTCTCTTTCCGAGCTGAGTTCCCATGTGAGCTTCCGGTGCCCCTTGCAGACAAGCTGTCTGGGCTGCTTCTCAACTTCCCCCATTAGCCATTTTGACCCACAGCCAAAACTGCAGCTGCTTCTCCATTGAGGCTGCAGACCAGGAGCTAAGCAAAGGAGGCAAGGAATTTGGCTTGGGGATTTGGGGAAGACGGTTCTTGCACACATGACTAGCTCACTGCTCAAGGTTGACTCAGCCTTCCCTCCTTCTGAGGTCAGTAAAAGGAGGACCCAGATTTTTGGGGGCAAGCGGTTGACTCTGTAAACCACTTAGAGAGGGCTGTGAAGCACCGTGAAGTGGTATATAAGTCTAAGCCAGTGGTCGTCAACCAGTGGGCCAGGGACCACTGGGGGTCTGTGAGAAAATTTTGGTGGTCTGCAGAGAAATGTCACCCCTAAAGCACCCCCACCAAAGCAATTAAGGCTGCATGGCAACACAAGGCTGCGCTGCCCACATAGCCTGTGGGAACACAAGGCTTGCATCGCTTGCATTGAGAACAACATGAGATAGTGAGGGGAGGGGGGAAAGGGCGGAGGGGGGGAACTTGCCCTACTTGCCCCATGTGCCTGGCTTGGCCACCAGGCTGCTTCTTTCCACTTCTCTCTTCTTCTTTTGGCTGCACGCAAGGAAAGCAGCAGAAGTCTTTCTTTCTCTCCCCCAAACTCAGTCAGAAATGAGTCTTTGGGACCCTGCAAGGCCTCCTGCTCCAAGAGGCTGCGTCATTCTGGCAGAGTTTGGGCGAGAGAAAGAAAGACTTCTGCTGTTTCTGCTGCTTTCCTTGCATGAAGCTGAAAGTCAGTCTCTCTCTCTCTCTCTCTCTCTCTCTCTCTCTCTCTCTCTCTCTCTCTCTCTCTCTCTCTCTCTGAGAACGGAGCTGGAGATGATATCCTACGATCCCAAATAAAGAATAATCAATCGGTAGGAAAATGGGGTGGGGATTTTCCTGCAGATTTTTTGGGGGATTTTCCCAGGGTCTCTACTGCTTTCTCCAGAGACCCTGGGAAAACGTCAGCAAGCCACCTGCAGTCAAAATTCATATTAGTGGTCCAAGGGATTTAAAATTATGAGTTTGGTGGTGCCTGAGGTCCAAAATTTGGGTGACCCCTGATCTAAGCACTATTGCAACAAGAATAGTCACCTCATCCAAAATGGATAACGATGTTAACGAACTAAATTGAAAGGGTGGAGCTTCGGTTCAAAAATCTTGCCCACAGATCCCCGGTATTAATGGCAAAATGGGGCTCCCTTTCCTAGTTAAATATTTGTGGGATCTGATGGTGGTTGTGTGAAGGTTGAAGAACAAGATTAGCGTACGGGCTTCTTTTGAACATGTGTGTGAAAATCCTTTTAAGCAGTATCACGAAGGAAACTTAGGGCAATCCAATAACATTGTAGATCCCTAGATAGTTAGTAGAGAATTGCAGGCTTGGGTATTATTGTTCATGTAAACATCATATTGATTTATATTATTTAAGTTTATTGGTGACTTATCTTAATAATGTTCCCATCACAGTGCATCTAATTTGGGGCACTAATTCAAACTATAATCACTCCCAATTCCAAGGATTATTGCTAATTTTAAAAAGTTATCTGTTTCCCAAGATAGATGCTCCTGTTAACTATGTTCATCACTCCTATTCAAATCTTAAGGAAGGCTGAGCACCAAAGAATGGAGGCCTTTGAACTCTGGTGCTGGAGAAGACTCCTGTGAGTCCCTTGGACTGCAAGGCCATCAAACTGGTCAGTCCTAGAGGAGATCAATCCTGACTGCTCTTTAGAAGGCCAGATCCTGAGGATGAAACTCAAAGACTTTGGCCACCTCGTGAGAAGGAAGGACTCGCTGGAGAAGCGCCTAATGCTGGGAACAATGGAGGGCAATAGAAGAAGAAGGTGGATGGCAGAGAAGGAGGAGGCTGGATGGAGTCACTGAAGTAGGCGGCATGAACTTAAATGGACTCTGGGTGATGGAACAAGACAGGAAGGCCTGGAAGAACATTGTCCATGGGGTCGCAATGGGTCAGACACGACTTTGCAACTAACAAGAACAACAATTCAAATAAAGTGTTCACCATGTCACTTTTGAGAACATTCCTCAAGAATTTCCAAGATACTTTGCCTCTTCTCAGCCAGCAAGACACTTGGGATAATTGCACACCCTTCTCCTTGAAACTGTTAAATGACCCCATTTTTCTTTCTTGTCATGGACAGCCTCCAAGTGGACAGCAAAAGGCACTTAAGTTGACCTCTGGAGAAGTCCACTGTTGCAGCCCAACCCACAAGGAGTCTGAACACATTCAAGGAAGTACCAGAAAGGAAGGACCTGCAACAACCTCTTCATATTGATCAAAAGTAGAAGCTAAACAGTTTCTTTCCAAATGCTCCTCCAGTTATCA